TTTTTTTTTTTTATGCTGACAAATTAGGGCAAAGTGTTCAAGGAGAAACCTCTACATTAAAAAAAGAAAAAAAAAGAAGAAAAATCGAAATCTGGCAAGTGTCCCTCCGCTTCACGACTCTGGTGTTTGCAGTCACTTTTAACTTTGGCTTATTTGAACTTTATAGCTAAGGATGATTTGCAAAGGGGGAAAAAAAAATTCCGTGGCTTCTGTACACAGCGTTGCCAAATGAGAGTGAGGTTTTTTTTTTAAATTTGACGTTGTTTTGCATATAACAAGAAAGGAGCTTGGGGGAAGGCAATCACGGAGTCAATCATGGTGAGCAACTGTACGTTGATACATGATGGAAACCTTTGACCCGAGGTACACATTTTGCATATATGGTCATTTATTTAGAATCAAGTTTACACAGGTACTTTTTTTTTTTTTTTGACATTACTGAGCTCAGTCGCATTATTTGTAAAATAAATATATTTATTGGTATTACTTCTTGATGCTGGGAGTAAATGCTGGGTGGAAAACAGTCTCAGATAGCAAATTACAGATTGGGGGGTGGGGGTGCGGTATTTTATGCCCCCCCCCCACACACACACATACATAGCAACAACACGGCCAGATTGTTGGCCAAATGCCCCAATGACGCTTTCCATTTTTGTTAGCATTCAGGTAGTGGAAGCCTCGTCATTAGATACACAACGTGTGATGATCGATATAATTTTTCCACGTTTGACGTAAACCTTCATCTGAGAGTATCACACAATTCCGCCCTCGTGTGTGGCGCCCCGAGTCCAAACTAATTCAATTGGAGTCTATTCATTAGGCGTTGGTTTATTGTGGACGGTTGCAGCAGGCGGGCTAAGCAAATGTGCCAACTGGGATTTCAACAAATCAAACAATTACACGCATTACATTAGTTACACAGTAACATGATCTCGGGTGCAGCTGGCACCGTGCAATGCAAACACGTCGGACATGCATGCAATAAGCGGTTTCGAGAAGAGATATTCATTTTCGACAGTGCTTTTCCTGTTCAGGGTCGGGGGCGAGCTAAAGCCTATCCCAGTCGACTCGTCAATCACAGGGAGAAGAATGGTGATGATTTAATAATTCAAATCATTGAAATCAGCGGTATCGAGCGATAGTTGTTTTTTTTTCAAGGCTTTTTACAGCATATCGAAAGGAGAGCCGCAATTGCAGATGCACTTTTGGTTTCTTGAACACTAGGAGTACATTAAAGCACACTCACGCAGAAGCTGCTGTTAGCCACAGCCCACGCGCAAACACTCACACACTATCCCCACCATGCCTGCAATACATAGATATGACGCAAAATATTTTCGGTTCATTCTATGCTTGCATTGTTTTGCTGTGTTCAAATACGTTCACAAGGTGTTTGGAAGTTTGTTTCGACACAACGAAATGTGTTAAAAGTGGGTGGATGCGTAAAACTATATTTTTTAAAAAAGTTGATTTTGATGTATTCACATTTAAAAGCACAACACGTGTCACGATGACCACTTTTTTTTGCTAATCACGATAGCGCAACATATACTTGTTTTCCATCTTTTTGTTGTCTGGGGGAACAATGCAGAACGAAAGTGGAAATGTCGGGGTGGTGTGGAGGGGTAGGCGGCGAGCCAAATGATTCAGCCCGGGAGTTAAATATGATATAACCGTATTCTCGTCCGCACACACGTACACTCGTGTCAGAAGCGCTTACATAAGCATGCCGGAACAAACACGCACACACACAAACGGGTATACACACGCACACACACAACTACACACACACACAGTTGCATCACAAGCTTATAAAGTGCTGCCTTTCAGTAGTGAGGCAGACAGGCAAGAGGGAGGTTTAGTGTGTGTGTGTCTGCGTGTGTGTGTGTGTGTGGGGGGGGGGGGTCAGGTCTGTAGGTCCATGCTAGCCAACACACATGCGCGCACCTTCCCCACTTTCACTCCCATGGAGGCATTTCCAATTCTTTGCCGGCACACTAATAAACGTTGATAAAGAAGTTACGCATGAAAGAAAGAAGAAAACCATACACACACACACCAAAACACACCTCCCCCAGCTTTATGCTAATTCCGAGTCCCTGGGGGAGCACAGGGTCCACTGCCTCTTTCCCTCCATCCTCATCCCTCCATTCTTTTACCCTCCCCAGTCCAAGACATGTTCTTCCATGCGTGTGTGCCCCGAAAAAGCTACTATTCCGTTCCTCACGCATACCACCCCCCACCTCGCGCAGCCCACCCCAGCCCCAACGCTCTCCCTTCCGAGTAAGGGGCGTCAGAAGCTTGCAGAAGCTGTTGCCATGGAGACAGGTCCTATCTGCACTCTGTCCCCCTGGCATCCCCCGCTCCAGGAAGGAGAAAGAACAAGAAGATGCTGAAGAAAGACAGAGAGAGAGAGAGAGAGAGAGAGAGAGAGAGAGAGAGAGAGAGGGAGTTAAGATAAACATGCAAAGAGACTGAAGACGAGGACGAAGAGGAGGGCTACATTTGTCCACCATCAATCATTGTTGCGCGTTCCTGATACAGACCATTACCAATGTCTACTAATTCTTGTTTCAAGGTGGATTTCGAAAACAAATGTGATTCTCGACACTGCTGGAGTTCTCGTTTTCCCAGTAGCTTGCGAATGAGTGGGGGGGAAGTGGGGTGGGGAAGCTTGGCGCTAAGCTAACTTGCTCCCTCCTTCCGTGGTTTGCATCCTTGCCTGTGTGGCGTAAAAACAAAGTAGACCCCCGACAAGAATCGTTATCGCTAAAAGCAGATGAGGAGCAGCTAAGCGTGCGACACGCAGAGCAAAATGAGAACACCGGAGAAGATGGAGACACCGATGCTAATTGCCAAGTTCATGTGAAATGTTGCGGAAGACCAGAATAAGCGCACGGAACACTTTGAAGGTTTTTTTTTTTTAAATTGGACGCTTGATTATGATGATACAGCAAATATTTCATTGAAGTACATGATAAATTCACCCAAAGCCTCGAGTGACACGAAAAAAAAAAAAAAAAAAACTTTGGGAATATTTACGCAATTTTAATGGCCCGCTTCCGTAGAGCTTCGCTGGCAGAGTATTTAAAGGCTACTCGTCAGTATATTTCATATCGAGATTGGCCAATCCAAAGAGTGTTTCACTTCATCTAATGATTGCTGTTAGCCTCTTGAAAATTGGACAGCGAGCTCCGCGGTGGTCCACTTGATTTGTGTACACAAGCAAGACATGATCTTCAAAACGCCAAACAGCTCAATTAATTTGCACCGGACCCAACGTCCGAGGCTCTATTTCTCTCTCGTGAACACTTGCTAATGAGTGGGGGAGGGGTGATTAAATGATTCATCTTAAATGATTACTCCATGATTAGATTACGTGATGAAATAGATTTGCGGTGAAAGAAGAAAAGAAAGTGCCCGGGGGTGGGGGGGGGGGGGGGTATGATGACTTGTGAGAAAGTCAGAATTGTTTCTATTTCCTTTATTTCATTTGGGGAAAATTAGTTTTGGGCGGCCCAGTGGACGAATGGTTCGCGCGTCCACCTCACAGTACAGAGGTCGTGGGTTCGATCCCGGCTCCGGCCTTCCTGTGTGGAGTTTGCATGTTCTCCCGGGGCCCGCATGGGTTTTCTCCGGGTACTCTGGTTTCCTCCCGCGTTCCAAAAACATGCATGGCAGGCTGATTGAAATGGATGGAAAATTAGTTCCAAAAATCTGAACAACTTGGGCCAGTGTCGTGGAATGGATTGTTTTCCAACAAACGTCCAAATAAAAATTTAACAAGGCAGATGACCGTCTGCATAGGTTCTGTTTTTCATTTTGCTGGAAGGAGGTTGTTGGCACAAGTGGGGTTCTAATTAGTATTCAGACAACCTATACAAAGCAATTAGGTACTGACTAACTCAATCGAGGCCCAGAATAAGGAATGTGAATGCAATTGAGGCAGTTCGCAGTCCTCTTACATGGAGGTTGTCCCCACTATGGCTGATTTCAGGGTCAGGGGGAGGTGATCCGTTTTCTTTGCTGCGCAGGAAGCAAGTTTTGATCATCCGGCCCCAGGCAAACAACCGCAGACGCGCGACATAAAATGCGCAACCTTTGATGTCTCCCCGTAAACGGCGTGAGTTGCGCTTCGAGCAGCAGCGGGTGGGCCACCCGAGTGTTTCTGTGGCGTCTTCCAAACATTTTACGCGCCCTTGCAAAGATGCCACGTTGGCTTGGTCTGGATTCTCACGCTCTAGTCCCAAGTGGCACACTTTGGATATGTGTCATGGCAGCGTGATGTGTCAATACGTGTCACTTGAATATGGGCAGTCAAAAAAAAAAAAAAAAACATCCGGGCGTTCATTTGGATGGTTCATTTGGGTTTAAATCCAGCCGGGAGAAGCTAACGACGCTAGTAACGGCACAATATGGAGCCAAAAGCATTTGCCGTCTCACATCCAGGGCCGTGAGACTGGATGAATCAATATTGCTCAACACATTATTGACCTGTGCCTGATACCTTTCACGGGGATAAAAACAGGGACATAAACATGAGATGGAAGGAGGAGGTAGAAATAAATGCGTGCATGTTTGTGAGTCCCTGCCCGGAGAGGCTACTGATGTACATTCTGCTTCACTGATATGTACCTCATCACCGTCTCCTTGACCCGATGTCCTGATTGCACAGACAGACAGACAGAGAAAGAGTGACAGATCGGAGGTAGATGGCGGGAGAGAAGAAGAGAGGCAAAAAGAGTTGACTGCGGTGATCCAGCTAATTTATCAGCCCAGTCAAAA